CAAAAAATAATCATCTCTCCTCGATATTTTTGCTCGGAGAAAATACTCTTTGAAATTTATAAGGAATAATGTTACATATGTCTACTTTCTGCCAATTCTAGGACGCCCTGCATGGATCTGTTCCTTTTAGCTGCGCTCTGTACAATTTCCTGCAAATTTGATCCTTTCCTTTTTCTCTCACAAAGTCTGAACACGTACAAGTTTTTGTTTTGTGTACAAAAAGCACGGCAGAGTAAAGTTAAAAAGAGTCATATCAAGCGTGAAGGGAACCAATGTTGACGAAGAAAGCAGTGCTGCGTGAGAGAAAAGAAGACAGAACGGGAGACAAAGAGGTATGATAAATCAATTCGTGAAAAAAAACATTACAGATTACCATCGATTAAAGGGGATTTAATAAAAAAAAATCTAATCTCACAGTCTGACGAATATACGCGAATACGCAATCCCATGGACCGAATTGCAAATCCTCCACGCCAAACATTTTCATATTTTAATTATTTATACGCTCTTACACGCGCGTTGGAGTTCGTAAGGTTCGACATGTAGCTGCTGACAAGACCCGTGTGCATGCCAATAACTCCGCAATTTACAACTCATGAATGAAGTAATAAAAATAGCAGAGTCGCAGAAACGGATTACATTTGCCGCAATAACACAGCGCGATGTCGAAGCGTCGCGACGCGCGTCTTTAGTCGAAGGCTGGCAAATAGAGGCGAAACAATAAAGGAGGATTTGTCAAAAGTGTTCTTCGGCAAAAAATACATCTATTGTGTATTAGCGCGTATATACGACACGGATTCTTTTTTATAACAGTTATGATACAGAGTGATGAACGTGTTAATCATACACACATACACACATACACACAACACATACACACACACACACACACACACACACACACACAGACGTCAATTTAATAAATCTTTTTTTAAGATGTAAATTATTCCTAAATTATTGATATTGTACTTTTTATTACTGAGAAATTAATCCGACAAACCGGCGGAGCGTCTCACAATTATGAAAGATAGTAATGATAAATTAAGCGTATAATATCCGTACTATTTGAATATCCAATAAAGACCCCAACAACGCGTTATCAACGTATCATAGTAAATTATCTAATCCAAACAATAAGATAGGAAAGTAATAAAAAAAACATAAGATTTATTACACTATTCTTGTTATTAACACATCAAGCGTAATATTCAATCGTAAGAGCGTAATTCCAGATATATAAAAAATGTTAAGGATGTATTTACACATATTTTTTAACTAGATATAAAAAAATTATTTAAAAATTATTTATGTGTTTGAAAGCAATTCAAAGAGCTTAACGGCAATTTAGAATGCCTGAATAAAAAAACTATTTCAATAAGAAAATATATTTTTAAAAATAAAGATAAAATTAGAAAATTTTCATTTAAATTATAAAATTGTATTTTTAAAAATAAATATTGAACCTCTTATTGAATCGTTTCGTACACTCTAAAAAGTATCGGTGTGAATTTAACACCGCGGGTTTTAAATCTATCATACGATAATGATGTTAATAGAAACATTAAGGATTACAAATTTACTCTACGTTATAATATTAATATTAACACTAAGAATCAACAGTAAAAATTATATACACATTGCATAATATTATAAATATTAATATTTATATTTGTATATATAAAAATTTTATATATATAAAAATATATATATTTGTTTTATACGGAAAATATTTCCAATTCTAGTCCCTTTCTGTAGAGAGACTACAACGCCTGATATATCCTTAAAGCAAAAACTGAATATAAGATATAAAAATATATACCTCCCACAAACACACACACACACACACGCAAGCGCATACATCCATGAATTACTCAGATATCTGTTGGAAGACAGCGAGGTGAAATGCTACGGAAACATGGTTCATTCACAGCTTCTTACTTATCACGCTTGCAGACACACGTTCTCGTCAAAAGCACGGCCACGCGCAGG